AGAAGGATCTCCAAGGATCTCTACTCGTAGGAGCTCATAGCTCTGATACCAAAAAGAAAGTTTGATCTCAATTTTCCATACCTTCTACAGATAGATTTACAATGATTTATATACACTGTCTTAACCGTAACTCCTAACTACTTAACGTAACCATAACTACTATCTAACTCTAGTTCTAAAAAACTAACAACTAAACTAACAACCTTCAAGCTGTCGCTGATCTGATGAGCTGCAGCATACTACAACTGAAGCTGCAGCTCATACGGCTGTTGTCTGTCCTGTATCTAGCTTAGGCAAATGTAACTGAGGCTGACACTCTTAATGTATCACCAACAAGTAGGTAAAAGCAATAAAGAGAACAAAACTGTACATTAATGCATTCTAGATTTTCAAAATACCAGATAACCAGGCCAGTTATAGATCATGGACATCATCTCTCCTTTATCTTTTGCACTGAAGTACATTCCCCGTGCCATCTAAACAACCCTGAATAGTTTTGGCAAACCAATCCTACTGTAGGACTATATATTATTGGAGCAAAATCTTCAATGTTATCAATAAGGACATGGAGAGAAAAGCAACAGCAATGCGTCATTACTTCAAATTATTTCTCTCTAGCTAAAGAGAAATTATAATTAATTCTTAAATCACTTCTTGTTTACAAGCTGATAATTGCCACCAAACATACTCGGTAGTATAAAGTCTCATTCCTATCATGCAGTCAATTTAAGATCCTTCATTTAGCTAAGGACACAAAACTATCATCTTGGCCTTGAGTATTTTTTTCAAGTGAATCGATATGACACTAACAATACAAACAACAAAACATCAAGACCATTACTTTTAGAAACAAAATATATTAGAGAAAAAGAAAGAGTGAAGAAGAAGAAAGGGGAAGAGGAGGGGGGGTTGTAGGAGAGATCTCATCAAAGGCTACTAGGGGTTGGGGTACACAGATAATATAAAAAAAATTCCACTATCTCACATACAAATTTTATTTATTTATTTTTATGAGAGCTCTACCTAAGAGGTGTCCTAACTCTAATAATAAACTTAAACTACAAACACAAATTGCATGGTCACAGACAACTTTATTTTCATCTGTGTATTTTTCTTTACTTTAGTAATCAATCTAACCATGGTGTGTTCTCGGCACACTTGGATTCAATTGTAAGAGTGACTACCTGATAAATTAGAAAGAGCACACCTAAGAAAAGTCTGAAACCATACAACATGCCAAGTTTGAAAACAATCTACTCCTCACCAGCCAAGATTAAGCAGCTAGAACTATGCTTAAGAATTTGGACAGCCAGATACATTGCTTGATTTGGCTTATGTTCATCTTCACTAAAGATTCAAGGTGTACATGTCAAGTTCTATGATGCACCAAACATCAACATAATGTATACTCTTCTTCCCACAAAATTACGACCTTAAATTTCATTTCCAGGGTATTTTATTTTTTCATGCTCCATTAGTTAACAATTCATTGTTTACTAAAACCATAGAAAAGAAACCAATTAATATAGATAGAAGTAATACTGTATTTACATTTTAAAGATTTGTTTCAAGACTCCAGTTGAGACGGAAAAATCTCCTTGCTAGAACTAAAGGAATACAAGACCTTTTACTAGCACATTAGTTTTTTCAAGACTTCTCTGCTGCGTTTTTCACCTCTATTTTTTCAAATTAATCTGTGATCCTTCCTCCATTCAGTAATATATAGATTAATCAATAGTCATTAATAAAAACATTAATTCAACTTATTTATTTTGGAAGAGAGGAATTATAAGCGTTAAATGGGGTGTTTCAAGGCCTACGCCTAAATACATTATGAAATCCCAAGGAGACAATGTAAATTCCATCATTGCAGCTGCATCAAATATTCTTGGTCCATCGCAAAAAAAGGCCATCAAATTAAGTTTAAGAGCTGAAATCTAGCACTTCATAGAATGTTCAAACTATAAAAGTCAAAACACATGGAGCACGAAAAGTGACCTATTTGGACTCGGAAGCTTTTGCAAGCAGCATGATGTCCCCATAGGAATAAGATGTTTGTACAGTTATAGTAACCAATCAAGACTCAGCAACAATCCAAGATCAGACTAGAGATATGTTGTCCTGCAAACCAAACAAGTCAAGTGTTAGTTCAACTTGTTGTAACAGAGTGAGTTAGGTAGATATTTTCGTTAGATATTTTGTAAACATGTGGAGTGTATATAACGTACTGTATCTCTGAGTTTTCAATTTAATGAAAGTCATTCAGTTTCAATAACTTCTTCATGTGTAACATTAAGAGAGGTAGCTATAGCATGGCTAGTTTGCATATATCCATCACGGATGAATTGATAGATTAAAATCTCAATATCCACAAATAACTTAGAGAGAATGATATAAATACTCAAGGCAGCTCAATTGGAAAATCAAGACAAATCCAAAATGGAGTGTGCTGTTAGATAATCATCAAGTTCACAAAAATAGGATTCTTTTCCGTATTAGTGCAGAATCAACCATTGCGGAGCCAGAAATGTCCATTAAACAATTCACCACTAATATCAACCTTCAATTATACATAATGTACGCTAATAAACTTGTGTAATACACAAAACTGGATCAAGTACTTTATAGTTACCAAATTACAAATACCATAATGAAAGCAAAAACCACAATAGTTAATTTTTACAAAAATCTAATAACTGACCGCTTGCATCACTAATACTAAAATTCCATAAATGCTAATAAAGTTAAACAATTGATTCCATAAATCATAAATGTATAATATTTTCTTTCACTAAAATTTTGAACAAATTTAATTCAGATATATCCTTTGAACATAAGGTTTGTTTAGTTAATTTAGTTGAAGAAAACAACACCCACTGTGTTTGTTGACAATTCCTTTTTAATGCCACAAGTTCTCCTCTCTTTTTTTTTCACATTTTTTAAATATAAGCGCAAATCCTCTCCTAAACAGTCACATAATGCCGCAATCATCTCCTTGGATATTAGGATAATAGTGACGTATAAGGTGGGTAACACATGAACATCTACAAAAGAATTCAAAGAAAGAAGAAAATGAAAAAGAATAACTAAAATATTAGAAGGAAAAAAGGGGTAACATGATTATATATTAATCTCTATGCTTTATGAAATTAGTTCAAGATTGACCTCATTTAAAATAAATATTTCAAAAAGTCTGAATAATAATTTCAGATTCACAAATTTCCAGTGAGGTCACTTGACCCAACTTTGTTATACATGGCTATGCCCCTAAGAATCAAGGCAATACACCAACAGCTACTAAAAGAATACAAAAAGGGACAAATTTCCCAAACTAAAGACTGACAATAGGAAACTATTCCTCCAATTGTAATAAGTTAACATAGTGCACATAGAAGACACGAGAGCTGTTGCATGTGCAATTACACCCAATTTTAATAGGTACATATGCCATTTGTTTGGAACCAAATAACATGAAAAACGTAGACAACACATGAATGAAAAACTCTTTGACATGGATTTATCTTAAATATATACGAGGAACAAAATTTTCGTTTGTTTCCATTGAAATGGCCAAAATGTTTCCATTTCCCAAGAGACCGAAATGAAACACTAGTGGAATAATAAATTCTAGTGTTTTCATTGAAACACATCAAAACATAGTGAAACACACCGAAACATAGTGTGATATACAGAAAGAGTAAATTGTACCTATACAAATTTAGAAATTTTCATAAACATTTATTACTGTTGCTTAAGTAAACTTTTAGTCCTTATTGGAAACTTTTGTTTAATAAATTTGAGTTATTTAACAATACTTAATAATTTTAGTTCCTCCAGTTGAGACGGAAAAATCTCCTTGCTAGAACTAAAGGAATACAAGACCTTTTACTAGCACATCTATACAAATTTAGAAATTTTCATAAACATTTATTACTGTTGCTTAAGTAAACTTTTAGTCCTTAGTAGAAACTTTTGTTTAATAAAATTGAGTTATTTAACAATACTTAATAATTTTAGTTCATAGTAACATTAGTTTTTTAATTCTTTTACGTGAATGCCTATATGAATCTCAATTTGTTTAATTAATCAATTATTAGGCTTTTATACATTTAGATATATTTCAATTTATATTTTCAAACATTTCTATTTTATCTTCGTTTCATAAAATATTTCCGAGATGTTTTTGTTTCTGTACTATTTGAAACAACACACCCAAACAAAATTTTGATCTTTGTATATATATATACATATATTATTATTTGAAATTCCAAGACCAGGAATCATCAATTTGCTGATTCTTTGAGCACGGATGGGAGAAAAAAAAAAGGGCAGGCTTCCACACACAAATGCAGTAGACATAACATCACACAAATTCAATTACAATATTTTTATAGTGTGTTAAACATCCACTGGTTCTGAATGGCTCAGGGAGATTAAGCATATGAAATACAAAATATGTTAACAATACACAAAAAATTAACAAATTGTATGTAATGTGCCCATTAAAAACTTTGATGTATAAGAATATACTTAATATTAAAATATCAACTAAAGCCAACAAGGCAGCAAAGATTAATCAAATAATGTTGATTCATCCTCTGAGCAAAATGGGTAGCATTTTCCTACTAATTTTCAAGGGTTAAAACAACAGGAAGATACTCGACCTATATAATTTAAGAAATGACTTCATTCAACTTTTTACAACATACAAGTTATCCAGTAACCAAAATTCAAATTATAATATAGTTAAGGCCACATCATATAAATGCATGTACATTTAAGCTGATGAATAATCAGTATTGATGATTTGCGAGAGTGAGTTAGTTATCAAAAGAAAAATAGCAATTTGGGGCATCACTATAACAACCTATATATATGAATTGCCACCTCATACAACATACTACCCAAAAATTTTACAAACAAAAATAGTGGGGGGAAGCCAAGCTCACTACATTTTCACTATATGCAACTATAGATAAATAAAAAATCACTCAACATACCTCCATGACATTGTGAAACTATGAACATTCTAAACATGAGCTTTCCCAAAGCTATATTTCCCCTAAACAAAATGAAAGGCCATATGATGCAAGTTAGGTAAAGATATTACAAAAGACAACACCAAAACGGTTTCAACTCAAGAAAATTCTTACCAGGATTGGTCAAAGTGTACAAGGGGATAGCAAACAATCACTGGATGGACAGGATATCCAGGGACAAATGCACCAAGCTGGAAAGAAATGTGAACTCTTCCATTTGTTGTGGCTGCCTCGGAAATAAAAGCAGACTAGGAAATCTATCAGAAGAAGCCTTTCTTTGTATTTAGATCCTTGAAAGCACATTTCTGTATCAAATAATCCCTCATAGATTGATAAAACTTAATACTCTAAATTTTTTTTTCAGACAAAAAATGTAACGACTCCAGATATACAATTAAAATTGCTTTCAGTTTCCATATTTATTAAACAACTCACAAAAATGAAATTTGGACACCTGATATGCGTATATTTGTTTATAACTTTTTAAGTTAGCTCTTACAACAGCAAAAAAATTATTTAATTTTTCTAAGCATTTGCAAACTACTTACATCACAGCATTTCATTGTCTTTCTTTCTTTTTTTTTTCAAAAAAATTCTCCCTTCAACAAGAATTTGTACCAGCTTAATCACTTTCAATCTAACTTTTCCCGGTCACTATATAGGAAACAACTTAACAAATACAAAAATATTTTATTAATGACTAGCAGAAAACCCAAAAAACTAAGGTTTGGTTTTTGAAATCAATTTTGAAAGATAATTTTCTAAAAATTTGTTTGGCTGTATATTCTAAAAATAATTTTCAAAAATTTAAAAATCCAAAACTCATTTAGTTTTTAGAATTTGAAATAATTTTTGAAACTCTGTTTGGTTTTGGAGTTCTCAAAAATAATTTTTAAGTTTCAATCTGTATTTTATTGTTTTTAGTGAACTTTTTAAGTATTTAATCAAGGTTTTCAAGTTTTTAGATCCACTCAATCTAAATACACCTAAAATGTATAAAATTTATGAAAACAATTGTTTAAAAAATCACTAAATATTAATAAATATACAAATTTAATACATTTTTGTATGTATTTTGTATTTATTAAGTTTTTTTAAAGATTTTTTAATTTTTAATTTTTTTTAAGTATATATAGATTAGATGCATCTAAAAAATAAAACAAATTAGCCAATATATTAAAAAAATACGAATTAAAAATTTTAAATTTTTTTTTGAAAACTCCAAAACCAAACAAAATTTAAAAAATTATTTACTCATTCCATAATGGTCCTCCAAATTTAAATTTAACATATTTTTTTCATTATTTTCAAAAATATTTTTTATTAATTGAAAATACAAATTCATTTTATTTTAAATTTTTATATGAATTCGCAAATAACTTACTCATCCAAAAAAATTCGATTAACTTGAAAATATGATATACTGCATACTTCAGCGATCTCTTATTCAAATTTTTTTTGAAAATCAATAAGCAAAAAGACATTAAAAATTAGCAATGATAGAAATCTTTACTATCAATTAGATTGCTTGATTAAGTTTTTTAAAATCTGTAAAAATTAAAAATTAAAAATTAAAAACACTTAGATGGTGTTTGGAAAGTGAGTTTTTATGTAGGTTTTTTTAGATGTAGGATATTATTGAAGAATTTTTTTTTTTTTTTTTTTTTTTTTGTGTTGGGAGACTAGTTGAATTTTTTTGTGGTTGGATGTGATATTTGTGAGAGAAAAAGTGAAATGACTATGGGGTTGGATGTGATATTTTGTTTGGATGTGTTTTTTTTTTGGTTTTGCAAAATTTTTGTCTTTTAGTGAAAAAAATGAGAAAAAACCCAACTATAATTCTTCCCAAACACCACCTTAATGTTTTTCATATGATTTTTTTGTTTTTAAAATCTGAAAATATTTTTTAAATGTTTATATTTATAAAATTAGTTTAAGTTTTGATACCTGGCAATTTGAGTGCTTGTAAAACTGCGGTGGGAATCTCCACAACAGAGCTTAATCATGAACATCGACTTCAGGTATGTGAGCTAAGTGGGGCCAATATTTGCCTTTCCCCTTTTCACACTTCCTTGTTAGGTTCCGACTTCCCCAGATCGTCAATCTCACAAGTGAGGGAGGCAGCCTTTGCACTGGTAAAGATTTGAGCCTAGGGCAACCCCAGATTTCAAGAGATTCAAGAGAGGCGAGGTTTTGAAACAACTTAGAAGATAGCTTCTCCAGATTTCGTAAATCCCTGATCCAAAGATTGATCAGAGAGGTGGGCAACAACTTCCCATCTATTGGAAAGCTGGACCCCGCTACACCTTCTTCTTCTTCTTCTTCTTCTTCTTCATCCTCTGCCACACTAATTGGGCCTTCAATCAACAGTGTTCTAAGAGAGGATAAACTGTGCAAACCAATCTTCTTGAAGTTATTGTTCCAATGTGGAATATCCATCGACAGTAATTGAAGAGAAGTGAGGTAGGTGATGCTCTGCAATCCGTGTGGTAGGGCCTTGAGTTTTTTGCATCCCCTGATATCCAAATATGCCAGATTTGTTGCGGAGTGGAACCATCCTTCCGGAATGTACTCCAAATTCTTACACCCATTCAAGTACAATCCACTGAGATTCCTGAGATTATTATTATTATTATTATTACGAAGGGCATCTGGCAAGTATTTGAGCCTATCACAATCCGTGATCCAAATATGCTCAAGAGGTGGACAGGTAATTTCCATCCCCTCCTCTACTACTAGCAGTGCCTCCAACTTTTTACACCTCCTAATCTGAAGCTCTTTGAGTGTGGGTGGTAGCCTCCCACCTCTGCACGATATTAAGCATGTGAGGGATGGACAATCTTGAACATCTAACACTTGAAGATTACTGTCATTAATCTGTGTTAAACACCCGAATAAGGATTGCAGAGCCTCACAATCACCTATCCTGAGTGTTTTCAGCGTGCACGGAAAACCTGTCTCCGGAAAAGAGCTGAGACTCGGACACTTATAGACACACAACTCTCCAAGAAAAGTGAAGCTATGTAGCAGCCGTGGCAGTTTCTCCAGCTTTTCACAATTATATATTGTTAGACGCTCAAGCCTCCTCACTATGCAAGGGAGTCCCTCTTGTTGCTGCTGCTGCTGCTCATGTTGCCCTTTGTTGTCGTCATCCTCATCTTCTTCAAACAATGAAACAAGCTGGGGGCAGCCTTCAATTTCCAAACGCCGGAATGCAGGGAGACTCAGACTGTGTTGCACTCTCTCCTCGTTCTTCCACAATGTCTTGAGTTCTTCACAGCATGTGATCTCCAATGCTTCGAGTTCCATCAGCCCATGAGTAACCCATTTCGGCAAGAGCTCGAGTTTCTTAATCATCCCAATGCTCAAGGAAGTTATTGAACTCGGATGCTTAGACTTTGCATTTGCTGATATCAGTTCGTCATCAACCATGCTCCTCATCTCAAGGACCGCTTGAAGGCTTGTTAGAGGAACGTCATTCATAGCTATCGAGGTGAGTGACGGAAGGCTAATGCTAGAACCTTCAACTAGGAATTGCGAGCACACTGAAATGTTTAGATTATTCAAACAAGGTAGATCCTTGGGCATCATTCCACAGAGTTTGGGGCAGTCCCTAATCTCTAGATTATTCAAACAAGGTAGATCAGTAGGCAACATTTTAAGAAGTTTGGGACATTTTTTTAGGGAGAGAGACTTGACACGAGTGAATGGTTGAACTTCTTTGTGATCTCCAAAAGTATACCAATCCTCCCATTCTGGCATATTCTTAAAGCTTAGAGTCTCCAGTAACGGAAAAGGTTGAACACCACCTTGCCCGTAGAACTCACAACCAACCTGCTTTAGTACACTCATTCCTTTAATGTAAAGCTTTTTGAGGGAGGGTAATTGTCCGAGTGGTGGCAAGGATGCACAATTTCCACAATTATCTAAACTTAGGTCAGCCATATTGGAGAATTCTCCTATCCAATTCGGCAATCCTGTTCCAAGGTAGCCTTTGATACAAAGCTCTTTTAAATCTTTGGGAGGTTGTAGCATGTCCAGCACTTCTGTTTCAAATCTTCCATCTCGTAAATCATCTGAGTTAACACTCCATTCCATTAATAACACATCTAACCCCTTCTTATCATTTAAATTCGCCTCCCTTGCATCTAACGGAACCACCACATTCTGTAACCCAGACAGGCAAAGCTTCCCCCGAAGATAAATTAAGTTCCCCAACTCTGTTAACTGCTGCCCATTGTTTTTAGTAACAATGAAATTGGACAGTGTTTGAAGACTAGCCAACTTACCTATTCCTAGTGGCATTTCTCTTAAGGAATGTGCATTTGTAGTATCGAGATGACGTAGGTCAATTAGGTTTCCCAAGTATGTTGGCAACTTTTTCAGTTTTCTACATTCTCTTAACATCAATGTTTGTAGATTGTAAAGAGAGCCTAGTGATTCAGGTAATTCTTCAATGGAGGTGTGGGATAGGTTAAGATACCGCAGATGTTTCAAATCTCCAACCGAATTTGGAACTTCTGTGATGTCATATCTACTCATATTGAGCACCCTCAAGCGTCTTAGCTTTGGCAATAGATTAAGGGGAACATTGCTTGCCAAATAACAATTCAGACCATTTCGTGTGTAAAATGGTAAGAAAGTTCGTAAGTGCATGGCTTTGTCAAAGATCTCAAATTTTTTCATACCCTCATAGTACTTTTGCATGTAGGATGAATGTCGAACTTTCTTTAGATTTTGGTACTGCTCCTGATCGTTGAATTTATCATCCAATCTTAAACAAGTATCTCTTGCAACTACTTGAGCCAAATCATTGATGAGGTCATGCATCACAAATTTAGAGCTTTTACCGGTACTTGATGGTTGGAAAAAAGACCTTGACAACAATTCCTGGAAGTACTCACCTCCAACATCTTCCATTTGTTTCTTTCTTTGTTTTTGAATGAAACCCTCTGCCATCCACAACAAGACCAACTCCTCTTCCTCAAATTCATAGTCGTTGGGTATTATGGAGCAATATGCAAAGCACTGCTTCAAATGTGAAGGTAGATGATGGTAACTTAACCTCAAAGCTGGAAGGATGTCACTTTCTTGTGGTAAATCCCATATTTTACTATGCAATACGTCTTCCCATTCCTCATCTTGTTCTTTGCAATGTAGAAGGCCACCGAGTGTCCTAGCAGCCAAAGGCAAACCTTTACATTTCTTGACAATTTTCTTACCAATCGATACCAAATTTGGATTTGCATCAATACTTCTATTCTCAAAGGCATGTCTTGAAAACAACGACCAACAATCATCATCTGATAGGACCTCAATGTAATGAAGTTCAACAGCTCGCATCATTCTTGCAACGTCTCTGTTACGTGTTGTCACCACTACTTTACTCCCTTGGGCTCCTTCATTGAAAGGTTTCTTCAAAACATTCCAGTCACTGTATTTTTTGTTCCAGACATCGTCTAAAACAATTAAGAACTTCTTTCCAGCCAAAGCTTGCTTTAGTTGAACTTGAACTTGGTCCAAGTTATTAAAACTAAATGTCTGGGAAGTCACTGACTCAAGAATTGCTTTTGTTATTCTCATAATGTCGAACTCATCTGACACACAGACCCAGGCTTTCAGATGGAAATGCTTCTGCACAGTTTCATTGTTGTATACCATCTGAGCAAGGGTGGTCTTGCCAATCCCACCCATACCCACAATGGGAATTACACCAATGTTGTTATGACTTGATTCATCCCCCCTTACAAGCAACTCAATTATCTTTCTTTGATCATGTTCTCGGCCATAAATGCGAGGTTCATCAAATAAAGATGTGGAGTCTGGTCTTTGCCAAGTCTTAGTCGGAGGTGTAGGGGTGGTTCCAACAATCTTAACCAAATTAAGTTTCGAACATTGTTCAAAACTATTGTGCAATCTGGTATTGATCTCCTGAATCTGGGACTTCATTTTGAAATTAAACATAACATCTCTTGGCTTGAAATTAGGGATAAGGTTCCATACCTTGCTGGAACTAGCTTGGGGCGGCTTTGCCTTGAGACTCTGTCGCAAAGCTTCGGTGGCGAACTCATCCACGACATCATCCAAATCATATGCCAGATCCTGGAGATTGTCGAGCCATAGGTTCACAGCTCGATCTGTCAGTTGCTTCTCCTCCGCGTCAACCAGAAGAGCTTCAATTTGAGACAGCATATTGGTCCAATTGGTTAGCTGGGTATCAATACCTTCAAAGGTGGGTAATTTGGAGGATGCAAAAGAGGACATCTTCTCAAACAGCAATTTGACAAAGGCAGAGAGAAAGATCTCTGCTATAGGCATTGTTTCCGATTACAGAAAAAACCAACAGATCAGAAGCAAAGCAAAGAGGTTGTTGAGTTTTTTTTTCAGTGAAAAAAGTTTTAGCGGTCTCGAAGATGGCTATATTTTTGTTAGAAGAAGAAGAAGAAATTATTGAGTGCTGAGAAGCAGTCAAAAGTGGCGTCTCCTTTCATTGGCCCCCGTCCCTCCGTGAAAACAACATATAAATTAAAAATAAAAATAAAATACTCAAAATAAAAGAACTCAAATATTATATTATTGAGTGCTGAGGATAAAGTCAAAAATGGCGTCTTCTTTTATTGGCTCCCGACTCCACTGCGAAAACAACATATAAATTAAAAAAAAAATAAAAGAACCAAAGTCCGTAGGTTGAACCCAATTATTTTTTAATATATTTTTAAATGAATTCATATCTCTATCATGATTTTTCTCAGTTGGTAGGGGGTGCCCTTAGAAGTTTTCCAATCTTTACCCAACAATATGGAGTTTTGGTTAATACATTTTCAATTTTGTTTGAATTTAAAACAAAAAAATACTACGAGTAAAATAAAAGAGGGGCTAAAGTACAATTTAAAATCAATTATAAGGACCATTAGTGTAATATATTCATTATATTATTGGTTCTTATAATTTGTTTTGAATCTTATTTTGATTTTTTTAATTTTGCACTTAATTTTTTCTGTTTCAATTGTTAACAACATTTGATGAAGGGACCATCTTGTAACAAAATTTAAAATGTGAATACCCAAATATTCAAATTAAAATTACGATAACTAAAATGACACTTTTCTTAAATTACAAAGACCAATGATTTAATTTACAATTTAATCAAAAAAAATTTTCTCTCTTTTGTAAGAGATAATTGGACAAGTATTCTAACATGAATAATATAGAGTAGTACTCTAAAAACACTAAATAATGGAAAATTTAAAATAAAAAACGGATGATTTAGATTATTATAATAAAACTCATAATGAACTTTATGTGTTCAAACAATACTCTCTAATATAGATCGAGGATTAAATTTTTTATTTTTTATTATTTTTGTGAAGATTTGTCCAGGGCCGGCCCTGAGTTATTAGGGTCTAAGGCGAATTTTTTAAATTGAACCCTTTATATATTATCACCCAAAAAAAAAAAAAATTTTGTTTGGATAAAACAAAAAGATAAAAAATTATTTCTATTGCATTACAATTTAACAAAATTTAGATAACAAATATATATATATATATATAATAGTTGAATATCAATTAGTTGAATCGAATCTTTATTTTGTAGCTTACCAATGCTATAATAACTAAAATTAATTGGGAGTAAGGATGAGAATTTTCGACACAACTCAAGCAATATATAATATTAGCAAGTTATGGTTGACTATTTTTCAGCATAAATCTAAATATGACATGACTCAATAACATGAATTATTAGTTATATATTTTAATGTTCACTAAGGGATGCCATGACATTTTTTTTAATATTTTATTTAATTCCATCTAATTGAATAAAAAAGTATGTAAAATAATAATTAAGGCTAATATCTTTTTTTCATTTAAGATATGTATTTTTTTATTACCTATTTTAGAGTCAATCTAGTAAAACATATATAGTAATAAGGTACAATTTTTTTAATTAGAAAAATGCAATTGAATTAAAATCAAACATTCTATGAATAATTTCATTTAGTAAAAATAAATTTTATAAAATTCAAGTTATGGAAAAAAATTGTAATCTCTCCATACACTTGCTAAGTTATTTTTAACTAAAAGTGAAAGTTTTCACATTAAACATTAATCGGACATGAATCAAAATAACACCATATTGCAACATGAAAATAAATGAATTGAGCTAATATTAAAGTAATTATGAAATAACACGATTTGATATACTACCCTAATTGAGGGCCCTAAATTTTGGTCAAAATTGGAGGCCCGACGCGACCACCTTCGTCACCTCACCTCAGGGTCTGCCCTAGATTTGTCTAATAATCATAAAAAAAAAATTAATTAATAAATAAATAAATTTCTTTTTTACAATAGAATTGGCTAAATTTTGTTGTTTTTGTTTTATTTTGTTGTCTTTGGTTGCAAGTTGATAGCTTGCCAACGGGTAGCCTTGGATCTTCCGTGGAATCAAGATAGGGAAAGTGGTAATGTTTTTGGTTGCAAGTTGATAGCTTGCCAACGGGTAGCCTTGGATCTTCCGTGGAATCAAGATAGGGAAAGTGGTAATGTTTGGTGCGTAAAATTAACTTAAATTAATAGTTTTTGTATTTTGTCTCATATATCATTTTGATTCATATATTTTTAATTGATTTGATTATAAATTTTATATTAATTTGATTCAATTAATAATGCCAATTAGTGTTTTTGAAGTAAAATCATTAATCATATGATTGAGATTGACTCACTTAGTTAAGAAAATTTATAATTTTATTTTTAAAAGCATAACTCAAGCTACTCATGTGTGCGCTTTTCAATAATTTTTTTTTTTTTTAATAAAAAAAGTTAATGTTCGCAGTAAATTAGGTTAACTTGAGATAATACAAAATTTAAGATTGAAATTAAATTAATTAAAATTATAAAGATCGAAATGACACCAAAACTATAAAAATTAGTGGTTAAAATTTGCACATGCTTATTTTCTTATTGTAATAAGTAATGAGTAATGAGCAATGAGACTTAAGACTTGATTTGATTTGATATGGTTTGGTTTGGTTTGGTTTGGTTAGCTTCGAATTAATCTACGTGAGATAAAAGTGTCAAAATTCACAAATTTTTATCAAATGATTTTGTAATTTCAAAATAAGAAAGTGCATTTTTTATTGGAAGGATCTTTTAATTTCACTATAAAAAAAGATTATTCCCAAAAGTAATTATAAAAAATAGTTTATTAAACAAAATTTTCATATCAACTTCCGATTTTCTTTTTCTTTTTTTACCAGAAGAAAATGTAAAATGGTCCAATTATTTAACAGGATCTTTAATTAGGAACAAATTCAAAATTTAAACTTTAGAGGATAAAAATATATGTAACTTTTCATCAAAAAATAAGTATTGTAAATTTCAAATTTTAATTTATACCAACACAAAAAAGTGAATAATTATTAATTGAATATTCTTTATCAACATAATTGAAAACAAAAATATAATCAGACATATATTTTTTTTTATTTACATTAACTTAACAAAAATCTTAACTATTATTATGTCTACTCTCTCTATTAAAGTTAATTATCTAAAAATATATATATATATATTTTCAAACTTGAGAATTTGCTAGTGAAATGTAGACGAATGATTGAGAAACTGCAAAGAAAGGTTATAGGCCACTGAGAGGGAGATTTATAATCTGGCTTTGGGCCGAGGTAGAAGCCGGGCAGAAAGAGGTCCGAGCGTGTTTGGTCCGAGCTAACTTAGGCTTGTCCAGAGTTGGTTTTGCTCGGTCGAGGCCCAGGTCCCATGTTTGGGCTGAGCTAACTTGGGTTTGTCCAGAGTTGGTTTGCTCAGTCGAGTCCCAGCTCCCAAGTTTGGGCCGAGCTAACTTGGCCGAGGTGGTCGTCTGCTGACCCTGGTTTCATGGTTTGCACATTTAGCTCAGCGGGAAAGGTCTTCTGAAGATCAGCTTAACCTGGCAGGAGCTCAGTCGTACCAAAATGCTACTGAGCTCGGTTGTGATGGAGCTTGGCAAGTGGTGCCATCGGACTTCTTACGTAGCACGGTCGTATGAGTCCGAGGTGATGTCACCGGGCTACCCATTCCCGCTAATGTTGTCTCGCGGTTTGATTAGGTGGTGTTTAGCTGGATTTATGCTGACATATGGGAGAGCGGCACCACGTGTCAATAGACGAATGGGTGCAGAGGTGAACGCAGAGAGTATATAAGCATGACTGCACCCCCCATGTTGGGGATGGAACATCATTTGGTAAGAGAAACTTAACATTGATTCGGCTTCTTTCTCTCCCTCTCTCAGAGTGTGTGCTAACAAGACTGTCGGAGGGGTTTTCCGGCAACATACCGTCGGGTAACTCACCGCCGTTGTGTTTTCAGGTTGATCGGATAGACATGGTGCTTGGATGAAAGGAGTACGGACAGCGACGAATATCTCCTCCCCGTACAATTGGCGCCGTCTGTGGAAACTTTTGCAGACACAACCTTGTTTTCCAAGCCCATCTGATCGCCTACCATGGCGAACAACGACGAAATACCGTTGTTTGCCATTGACGGTATTACCCTGGAGTCAGCCAGACGGAGAGACAGACTCCCCGCCGTTCCGAACATGGTGAACCTGGAGACTTCTCCAGGAGGACTTCCAAGAGATGCGCGAGACAAGCGTGCCAGAAGTTTTAGTCACTCACGGAGCCCAGACAGACACCGGCGGCGAAGAGAATTGCACGCTCGACGTCTGGAGCACAAGTTAAGGGACCAAGACACCGTCATCCAGAGAATGGTGGCAGAGATGGAAGCTCTCAAACGACAAGTCAAAGGGAAGAGTGTTGCTAGTGTGGGAGACCACAGTGAGCGCACCCAACCCCGCCGCTCAGGTAGCCAGAGCTAGCAACACACCCCCTCACTTTCTATCACCAGAAGCTATAGAGTTGGAGAGCTAGACACGCTTGCAAAGAATTCTAGCGCCCAAGATAGTACCTACCATCCCTCATGTCCGTCGACCACGTCGAGATATTCCTACTCCATCTGTTCAGAGGACTTGAGAGACGTCTTGAAGGAGCGAGCTCGCCGACGGGAGGCTAAAAGGGTGCTGACACTCCAGCGGTTATCCTATGGAGGTCACTATAGTGAGGAGGTTATGATGCCGTCACCCCGTTTGGACGTACCAGTCCCTTTGGATACAGACTTGGCAAGGCTGAACGCCTCCCCCTTCTCCGTTGAGATAGAGACCATGCCGCTCCCAGCGGGCTTTCACCAGTCCAAGTTTACACTTTATGACGGAAAAAGCAATATGTACATGCATGTAAGCCACTTCCGGTAGGTCATAGCAGGACACAGGTGTAATGATGCTCTCATGTGCCTTATTTTCCCATCAAGTTTGGGCGAGCTGGGCTTGAAATGGTTTGAGAGACTTCTAGAAGAGAGCATCGAGAGGTGGCAGCAGTTGGCGGAAGCATTCGTGACTCGTTTCAAAACCAACACCAAAACGCCAAAGGAAGTGGACCACCTTCTGAGTGT